AACGATTGTCTCATTTAAATTTCTGTTCTAACTAGATATTGTCATCCTAACGTGCTCACACAAGTAAGGGGTTCTTATTTACCGAATTGTGATTCACGGTAAAAACCCTAACAAAGTGGTATCAGAGCACCCTGGTTGTGCGGTGCACTTGTGTGAGTGATGGAGGCAAATACTAGTAGAATGGTAAGTTTGAACGGTACCAATTATCACGTATGGAAAGGCAAGATGGAGGATCTGCTATACGTGAAAGAGTGCCACCTACCGTTGTTCGTTGAGGAAAAACCGGAGGGCAAAACTGATGAGCAATGGACATTGCTACATCGACAAGTTTGTGCCTTGATACGACAGTGGGTGGATGATAACGTTCTGAATCATGTGGCTGGTGAAACTAATGCTCGGTCTTTGTGGAGTAAGCTGGAGCAGTTGTACGCTCGAAACACTGGAAATCGCAAGCTGTACTTCATCAAGAAGTTGGTCGATTTAAAGTACGCCGAAGGCAGTCCGGTGACAGATCACCTGAACGTGTTTCAAGGTCTGTTGAACCAGTTGTCTGATATGGGGATCACTTTTGAAGATGAGGTTCAGAGTTTATGGCTTCTCAGTACACTTCCGGATTCATGGGAGACATTCAGGATGTCGTTGTCGAATTCAGCTCCAGACGGTGACAGAGTAACTCGTCAATCTCTCGATCTATTCAAGTTAACCCTAGATGCATGAAGAACGCTATCATCAACCCTAGATCGATTAAACCATATCTCTATGTGAATAATACGATCTCTCCTATTGATTTTGATCCGAAAAAAACCCATATCTTCGATGATCATTCAAGGAAATTGTGGGCATATATGATGAGGACTAAGGATCAAGTTCTGGGCATTTTCAAGCAGTTTCAGGTCTTGGTGGAAAGACAGACTGGAAAGAAGTTTAAGTGTATCCGAAGCGATAATGGAGGTGAATACTCCGGACCATTTGATGCTTATTGTCGTGAACAAGGCATCAGACATGAGAAGACGCCGCCGAAGACACCACAGTTGAATGGGTTGGCAGAGAGGATGAACAGGACGATCATGGAGAGAGTTCGCTGTTTGATTTCTCAATCAGGCCTGCCGAATTCCTTTTGGGGAGAAGCTTTGAACACCGTGGTTCATGTATTGAACCTATCACCTAGTGCTCCGTTACATGGTGATGTTCCAGAGAAGGTCTGGACTGGTAAGGATGTTTCTTACCGTCATTTGAAGGTTTTTGGGTGTAAAGCGTTTGTTCATATTCCCAAGGATGAGAGGTCGAAGCTGGATGCGAAGTCAAGACAGTGCGTGTTCATCGGATATGGTCTGGATGAAATGGGATACAGATTCTATGATCCAGTTGAGAAGAAACTCGTCAGAAGCAGAGACGCTGTGTTCATGGAGGATCAAACTATTCGGGATATTCAGAAGTGCAAAAATCCAACTCAGAATAGCAGTGGTTTGATCGACTCAGAGATGATTCCTCGGACGACAGTTGAGGATTCTACTGAAGGTGAGGTTCAAGGTGATACACCTGGTACAGATGCTCCCGTACAAATTGATGATGGTATTGGTGAAGACCATCGGGTTGAGTCGTCAACTACCGAAGACTCGCCGATGTTGAGAAGGTCTGAGAGAGCTCGGAGACCATCAACGAAGTATAGCTCCGGTGAGTATGTATTACTTACTGAAGGGGGAGAACCAGAGAGTTTTGATGAGGCTCGAATTCTTTGCCACATACACTTCAGGTGACTTTGGTTCCGTCAAGATGGGTAATGATGGGTCGGCTCAAGTCGTTGGCATTGGAGATGTCTGCTTGGAGACTAGTCTTGGTACTAGACTTGTGCTTAAGGATGTTAAGCATGTTCCAGATGTTCGTCTGAACTTGATCTCAGCGGGAAGACTTGATGATGAGGGTTTCAGTAGTACATTCAGTGGAGGTCAGTGGAAGCTTACTAGAGGCGCCATGGTTGTGGCTCGTGGGACGAAGTCTTCGTCACTATACTTAATGCACGCTAAGCTTTCTAAGGATATCATTAATGCCTTAGAGAGTGAAGATGCTATTGAGTTGTGGCACAAGAGACTTGGTCATATGAGTGAGAAAGGAATGTCTGTACTGGCGAAGAAGGAGGTTCTACAAGGAGTCTCAGGATTACATCTGAAGAAATGTGATCACTGTTTTGCGGGAAAACAGAACAGAGTTGCGTTTAAGTCTTCTACACCTTCGAGAAAATCAGAGATTCTCGAATTGGTGCACTCGGATGTGTGTGGTCCATTGAAGACGAGATCAATGGGTGGTGCATCATATTTTGTCACATTCATCGATGATCATTCAAGGAAATTGTGGGCATATATGATGAGGACTAAGGATCAAGTTCTGGGCATTTTCAAGCAGTTTCAGGTCTTGGTGGAAAGACAGACTGGAAAGAAGTTGAAGTGTATCCGAAGCGATAATGGAGGTGAATACTCCGGACCATTTGATGCCTATTGTCGTGAACAAGGCATCAGACATGAGAAGACGCCGCCGAAGACACCACAGTTGAATGGGTTGGCAGAGAGGATGAACAGGACGATCATGGAGAGAGTTCGCTGTTTGATTTCTCAATCAGGCCTGCCGAATTCCTTTTGGGGAGAAGCTTTGAACACCGTGGTTCATGTATTGAACCTATCACCTAGTGCTCCGTTACATGGTGATGTTCCAGAGAAGGTCTGGACTGGTAAGGATGTTTCTTACCGTCATTTGAAGGTTTTTGGGTGTAAAGCGTTTGTTCATATTCCCAAGGATGAGAGGTCGAAGCTGGATGCGAAGTCAAGACAGTGCGTGTTCATCGGATATGGTCTGGATGAAATGGGATACAGATTCTATGATCCAGTTGAGAAGAAACTCGTCAGAAGCAGAGACGCTGTGTTCATGGAGGATCAAACTATTCGGGATATTCAGAAGTGCAAAAATCCAACTCAGAATAGCAGTGGTTTGATCGACTCAGAGATGATTCCTCGGACGACAGTTGAGGATTCTACTGAAGGTGAGGTTCAAGGTGATACACCTGGTACAGATGCTCCATGGCAATCGAAGTTACAGAAATGCGTTGCACTTTCTACCACTGAAGCTGAGTTCATTGCCGCAACTGAAGCTTGTAAGGAGTTGTTGTGGATGAAGAGATTTCTTGAGCAGCTCGGTTTCAAACAAGATAGGTATATCCTGTTTTGCGACAGTCAGAGCGCTATTCATCTTGGAAAGAATCAGACGTTTCATTCAAGATCGAAGCACATTGATGTTAGATATCATTGGATACGAGATGTCGTGGATTCAAAGGAGGTTGAACTTGAGAAAGTTCACACAGATGATAATGGTGCAGACATGATGACAAAGGCATTACCGAGAGGGAAGCTGGATATTTGTTGCAGGATTGCCGGGATGGCAATCTCCTCCACATAGTCGGAAGAGGGGGAGAATTGTGGGGTCTTCCTCCCATGTGCATGAGGCGTTTTACACCTTGTGTGAAACATGGGTAAAGTGTTTTACGTGAAACACCATGATGATGTTTTCTTTGATCATTGCTTTGGACCCTTTTCTTTTCTATAATTAAAGAGTTCAAACGTCAGGGAAGATCAACACATACAGAGCGTAATCCAAGCAAGAGAGCAGAAAGAAGAAAAGAGAGAGTGGGAGAAAAGAGGGAGAGAAAACAGTTTGGTGCAGCTGTGATCAAAGCCTCGATCGGATGGTCATTCCTTGTCCGATCGATCTGGAATTTGGAGGAGAGCTTCTACACTCATTGTTCTAGGTTTTGTCCGGTGGAATTTTGATTCCAACGGTCAGAATTGGAGAAACGGAGTTTCTACCGAAGCTGTTCGTCATTGGAGCTTCAGCAGCACATGTCCGAGTAAGTTGAAGATTCGGATGCTCATCTCTTCTCCGTTTGAGCTGAAATTTGGTATGTTTATTCTACACCCTCTGAGCTTTTGATTTCTACGGAGAAGTTGGTATTTGGTTGCCGGAATCAGAAGTTACGGGGTTAGCTTGCTGCCTAAGTTACAGCTGGTTCTTTCGGGTTTATTGAGATTGAATATTGGTTAATATTCGGAAGTCTCGGGTGTATCTCTTGTTTATTGGAGACTGAAGTGTGGACGTTGTAACCCGGAAATTTGAGATTATAGTGGATTTTTGGGTGGACTACGGTCCCGTGGTTTTTACTCCTCACACCGAGGAGGTTTTCCACGTTAAAACGATTGTCTCATTTAAATTTCTGTTCTAACTAGATATTGTCATCCTAACGTGCTCACACAAGTAAGGGGTTCTTATTTACCGAATTGTGATTCACGGTAAAAACCCTAACATTCAGATGGACTGAACAGAACATACGTTTACACTACTGAAATCTGCAGACCCTGCTGATGAGATCAGTATCATGATTCAGGCTGCTGAGGATGGGAGAGATCAAGAGGTCGGGCACAGGAGGAAGGCTTGAGCCTTACATTTACAAGGTACCCGAATCATTGATATCTTCCTTTTTTTTTCTTCTGTTTGCATAATATAATTTCTGCATAGGATTGCACATCTAATCTATGTTTTGTACTGCTTATCAATGCAAATATGCTTTTGGCTCTTCCCATTCTACAGATTGCATGAGGATCCAAGACTCTGATCGATGAGGGTAAGGCAATTCCTCTTCTGGTTTATTATATGTTTCAGTCCTCTGATGGTATAAAGGGGGATATAGATGGTTTTCTTCGAAACCCAATCGTTCAATATTTTCGAACGATATTTTTATTTTAAAAATCCGAATTTCTTATAACCTAATCGAATCGAACCGAATTTTAGAAAAACCTAAAAACCGATTTTTTTTTTTAAAAGATCTAATTTTTAAAATAAAAACTGGAACCGAATTGAAACTGAAACTGAAACCGAACTGAATATGATATAACAATCGATTGGTACATATTTTTATAAAAATCGAAAGAACTAAACCGTATACCAAAACGCCCACCCCGTATTTGAATTACAAACTTCATGCATTTTAGTAGACAACAACCACCATGTAGATGGGACTATTGAGATATGATAAAAAAAAAAAAACTTTTTGTAATTGAAAAAGTGAATCGTTGAATTAGAGGAATCTAAATTGGTTTCTGGTACGTACTTTTCCCAACTGCCCTAAGGTTGTGCTAAATATTGGGTAGGTCGGTGTAAGATTGGGTCAAGGAACTTTCTCCCCTGTTTCATATTTTCAGATTTCAGGATTTTGCTTTGTCGTCTCTAATAGTATTTCACCTAACAAAACAAAAAAAGAATAAATACAAGGTGGACAGACGGACATTATCAGTTTGATTCGATTCCCAATAATTTAAGCGTTTTTTTATATCAGAAATATTAAATACTTTTTTTTTGGTGAAAAATAGTAAGTTACTATATTTCTGGTCAATAAGAGGCAGACCCTGATTCTTTGAAGTAAACGTTTGGCTTGAGTTTGCCTCCTCTCTCTTCACGCGGCGATACGTTAGGGTTGCGTGAGAATATTACCCTACTTAACATATAATATACTGAAACGGGAAAAGGAAACCGACCAGAAATGGCTCTAGTTTTGTCTATTTCATATTTTGACCCCTTTACTTTTAGAATTATCATATTTGACCTATATGCTTTGTTTTTTTCTACAGGATGCTGGAACTAATATCAATTAGATTGCTTTTCTGGTTAAAAGTCTAGGCATGGTCGTGTATAGTTGACCTATATACTTTTGGAATTATCATATTTTAGTGAAAATTTTAGAATAATTAGCTATGAGGAAATCGTCGTAGTCGCAAATATCGGTATGAATTAGGGGGGAAATATGAAATTAAACTAAATTAGGAGGGGAGAGAGAGACAGGAAACGCAAATATCTGATTGACATAAGATGAATTGCCTCGTATATGTATTCCTCGCAACCTGGAGAAAGCCTAGGCTGATATCCTCTCTCTCTCTCTCTCTCTCTCTCTCTCTCTCGTGAAGACAGAAAGGAGGAGAGAGAAATGGGGAAATACAGGGAGCTGTTGGACGCAGGGGTGAGAATAGTGGCGAGGTTTCATTCCCACTGTCCGCATACAGCGCGTCTCTACTACCACCCTCCCTCCGACCACGCCGCCGGTGGTGGGGCCCACGTGCCGGCCGACGGGGTCCAAAAGGGTCCGACCCAGATGGTCCCTTGCGCCGCCAAGGCCTCCAAAGGGTATGACTCCTCCGATTTCCTCCTTTATTCTGCTGTTTGATGTCTTCAGGGAATATACTACAAACTTTTTTTATAAAAACAAATCTTAAAAAAAAATTACAGAGTGAGAAATAGATCTGATGAGGATGTTCTTTCTTTTATTTTATTTATTTTTTTCTGGAATTTGTGGGATGCTCCTTCTTTTATTTTTATTTTTTTTCTGAAACTTGTGGGATGGTAATACATTGACTATTCTTGATATCCAAAAAAACGAGAGGGGGCTGTTTTCGTAATTAACGTGTGAAGCGCGGGTGGGGTTCCCATGTTCTGGTGGTCTGTTTTAGGCAAAAACTTGTTCAAGATACACATATACACAAGACATGCATATATACACTAAGCTATGAATATCACCGTATACATATGGGCGCCCGAATACGAAGATCATGCATGGTACAATCTATAATCCTAACACCAGTAAAATACAACTAAAAGTTACTCTCTCTCCACCCGGTCTTATTCCCAAAGGCCAACAACCAAATCCCAAATCCCAAAAGGCAAATCCAGTATGAACATATTATATAATACAGTCCATGTAAAATCCAGTATGAACACATTTGGAAGTACACAAAAGGAAGTGAAAAAGAACACTGTCATTCGATTGAATAGGGGCAATGAAATGAAGCTGTCTTTAGTTTAAGACTCCCAACTCTTTTCTCTCACAGTTTCAGTTGGCCACATCCCCTGAACGAGCCGTAAAGAGGTCTCGACTTCCTGAAACCGAAAACGTCCTTGATTTCGACTGATGGCGACGGGATCTGCTCTTTGTCTGACGGCATTTCCGACAAATGTGGACTCCCGTATACGCGAATGCTCAGGGATTTCTTGCCGCAAGCTCCAACCTTTATGTGATCATTGAAGAAACCGATCAAGTCTTGCTGTGTGATCTTCCTCAGTTCAGCAACCTGCCCAGAAAATAATGTTAACCCAATTCTCACAGATCAGCCACACCAACAAATTCCATGATCCTTGTGAGGGAACCTAGCTAAAATGGAATCGAATCTTCCTGGAATACATTAGAATCTTTTCACACAGTATCATGGTCGGGAAGAACAAGGTTTATACCCAGGCTGTTGATATCAGAGCCCTGTTGTTTGTTTAAAAAGATGAAAGGTGTTCGTCCGTACCTCTGCATCTCTACGATTGAATCTGAGGGTTCCATTTTGGATTTCTTGCCAGTAAAACCAGGATTCCTCCTTCAAGTTCTTGTGCTTTTCAAGCTTCATATCTATCAAAGCTGTTACATTGCTCTGACGGACCAAAATAACATCAATCAATATCCAGACCACTGAAGTTTTTTTCAAGCAAATCAAGATTTTCCATCTGAGTTAGCGGTCTAAAAAAACTGCTTGAGCCATCTCACCTTAAATTCCTCAACGCTCATCTCATAAAGCTTACTCTCAAAGTTCTTGAGGAATGACTCCACCCTTGAATCAATATGTCCAGGACCCTGTCAAAGTGTAAATCTTCAAGGTGATTATGGGGAGGAACATTGAAGGGGTTACGGAAAAAAACAGACAAAGATGGAGACATGCTAGGTACCTTTACTGAGGACTGGATAATGAACTGTACACCATGGATGCCAGAATCGTTCCTATATCAGCCAACATGGTTATGTATTAAAACAAACCCATGGCTCTTGCAAAATACGAGTTGGTTCCGAAGGTACCTCTGGGCAAGGGCAGTGATGTAACCAAGTTGCTCGACTGTTCTAAGCTGGTGAAAGGTTGCTTGTTTTGCAATCAGAGCAAAAAGCTGAAGTTTAACATTCATGATGAAAGCATCTCGATGAACCTGTTGGAGGAAGACAAATGTCCATCAGCAATAAAACAAGGTCCATCAGGAGAGGGTTTGATTTAACTATACCTGAATATAGTGCACAATTGCAGAATTTTCATCGCTAGGGTTTGATCCATCTTGATGGTAGAAGTATTTCATTCCTTTCTCGAGCTTTACAACCCTATTTGTTAGATGTTGGGATGGAAACAATGGTCGGCAGATGGGTTTTGGATCCTGAAAGAGAATATCTTCGATATGCTTGATCATCGACTCAGCTTCATTACTCTCAACATTACCTGAATGGTGAATATAAGTGACAACACTAAGAACCAAAGAGTGTCTAGCAAAAGAGAGACTGTTGGATACCTGCTACATAACACTCGAAAAATGTCCTTGACAACAACAATGGAACAAACTTTGCTACATCCCCCGCCTCCAGATGGGAAAGAACATCAAGTTCTTCTGTCCAAGGCCAGGTCTGATCTTGTAATATTAATGAGCAATAATACATGGCTTGCTGATACGGTTGTCGGAATTTGAAATTTTCATATTCCTTAGTGACCGTTTCCTAATATAAAATAAAGAAACATAAAGAACAGGGATTCAATAAACTAGGTAACAAGTCTTCCTCTCTGAGCCTCACTGGAAGCAGAGTCTAAGGCACAAAGTCGAGTTAATTTAGAAAAGGAGGAAAAGCCTGTCATGTTTACCTTGATAACAGAAAACCTGTCAGGTTTAACTTCAAAATTTGCAATTTTTTCAACAATAGTTTCCAGCAAGATCCTCAATTTGTGATTATAACCAAGAAGAGTCAGCTGGAAATGCAAAGTAGAGAGTCAAGACATACAAAACCGTGGAACAAGAGAAAAACTTGAACACATAACAAAAAAAAGGAAAATTCAAATAATCCTTGCACAAACACACCTCAAAACCATTGTCTGAGAGGCTTATTCCATAATACAGACCAGCAACCTGTGCATCATAAGCTGGAATATAGAAGTCAGCGTAATGGGACACCACTCAAATACAATAACAACAAACCAGAGAGTATTTGTTTATATTTATTTTACTGTATAAATTCGTTCATTTAATTAGTTATCCTATATATTTCAATATTTATCAATAAATAGTTAGAGCTCAACATAATGTGCCAAACATGGCATACTGATAGCAAAAGTAGCACTGAGCTTTATAAAAAACCCGGGCTTCAAAAACTTTATGCAGCTAAAACACCATAATTGTCAAGACATAAGATGGTAGATTTTAGGCTATTATCTTCTTCTTCTATTAATAGGTGATCTTGTAACCAAAACCTGAAAAAGAAAATCCTACACGGTACTTCTGGGAATAGGATTCTTCAATTCTTCCAAACCCAAATACTTAAAGAATCCTCTCCCTATTCTAGTTTCTTTAGTGTTTTCCCCCTTTATTCTGCTCGACCATTAAATTCCACAGTTCAGTCAGCAGATGAAGACTGATAATGCTAAATTTTCTGCAACTTGAAGAGATGTACAATCAACTGCAGTGTCATATGAACGAGTTTCAAATTTAAGGTCTTTCCGCCAGAATGAGACGAGTTCAGGTACATTTTTTTGACAGTTATCCCTAAGTTTAATCACTTTGTTTGATGTTTCCGGAATATCAATCTAACTATTCAACGGCTTGGTTACACAAATCCAGCAAACAAATCTATTGAATTATGTCCCATGAAAGCCATAGTTAAAACCTAAAGCACAGAACAACAGTAATCGATGAAGTCTTACCATATTCATTCAAATAGTCCATCAGCAACCGTGTAAAAATGTCAGTAAGAACTGCAGCATCAGGAGAGCTGACTGCTATAGGACAGTTGAAATCCATCTTGACATAAGCCTTTGGTGTGGAGAACATTGTATCAGACTTGTACCACAATCTTGAGAAGGGTGACTTTCTCAACAAAACTGGACAAGTGCCCTGTACCAAACTCGATCCAATACGATTATTGCTTCACATATAAAACTTAGAAGGTAATTTTAACTAGACTGTTAAAATCAAACCTTATCTTTAGCATCCTTTAAAGATAAATCCGTAGGAATAAAGACATTAGGCGCTGGTAGATGCAGGTTAACCTCAGGCGCAGACTGCATCCATTCCTGAAATCATTTAGCACAACCCGTAAAAAAATGGTCAGACAGAATATGGAATGGAGCCGATGCTCACAAAAAGAGAAGATATGTCCCATTGCTAGTTCAGCGTGTTCTGAAATTTGGAAATTAACATATCAAAACATACCTGAATGGTGGAACTGGTAATATTCTCAACAGAATAAGCAGTGTTATACCATGGCTCAACCTTGTCCGTCTGTCCTTCAAATTTCTTTGATTCCCAAAAGAGTCTACAAACAGAAAGGTATTAGAAGAAGAATAGCACGCTTCGGTGGATTCTAGAACTTGCAAAACAAATATTCCAGTACACTGATACACTCTGAATCCAGGCCCATAATCACAAAAGTATCCCATTTTGACCTCAGCTCTTTCCAAGATGGAATACAATACGACAAAAATAACTTGGTCAACGCATGATATTAAGCATGAGAATAAAATAGGCAGCTGAAAAGAATAAGACAATTTAGGTCGACTGATTTTGCATACAGAGCCATATCATCCCAAAAGCTGGAACTTACCGAGCAGTATTGGAAGAAAGCTCATCTAACACCTTTTGTATAATAGCTGGATTGAAATTAGAGGGCAATGATGATCCAACTAGCCAATCCTTGATTGGATATATCTGAATGATGATTAATTGCAAAGGATTTAGAAGACCAAAATGTGTAGCATGTTAGTCAAGATGTTAGGTCTCTGTCATAGTGACAGAGAAAGCCAAACCTTTTGCACACCGGAAACACCTCCATATAGGGCATCTATCTAATAAAAGGATGATATGATGGCAACAAATCTAAACACATACAATGAGTGAACTCTCACATGTTGATCAACATAAAGAATGTTTTATAGAACACCGTTAAGGAAGGATAACATATCTTCCCAATTAAAGTGATCTCATTCCAATGATTCTGGATCTCACAGAAGATGTAAATCACAAGTTTTGGTTCTATCTACGTTTCAGCCAAAAACACGTAAATCAAAGAAATGTTGGTGGATAACTAGCACTGGCATAAACATTAGCCACATGGTAAAAGCTTAAAAGACGGCAGAAAAACTGAGAAATATTACCTGCATGTTTGTCGCGATATCCACTACATAAGAAATTGGTCGCACTTTGTCTTGATAATGGAATTTCGTCTCACAAATAGAAGAAAGCTTCAATAACAATTTAAACTTATCAGACCCTTCAAAGAGTCTAAATCCCATTGGAATTTAAGCATAGATCAAAGAGAAACGAAATCAAATATGTTTTGAACTTCATGCTACATAATTTGTCAAATGTCACACAGTGCTTATATTGAATGACCAAAGGACACCTCGCAGTAGGGTTAACCGAATAACGGTTGCATTTAACAATGACAATAAATTAGCTTCTACATGGTACTGTTACGCATACCTCATCAAAAATCCACTGGCAAACACCAGACTGTTGCAAAAGCTGAATGTATCTGAACAACAGCCCTAAAATATCTTGCATATGCTCTGTAACCCCAACAAGAAGAAACCATATTAGACAAAGGAATTTGGAATGCTTTTATTGAACACCACAAAAACTAATAAATAGATTCAACACAACAAGATCAATACACTTTCACAGAACGAAACAGACAAGGGTAGAGAAACCCACCATGACCAGCATCAGTAAGATCGATCGCAACCTTGAAGAAAGAATAATCTAGTGTCCAATCTCCTTCACCAGCAGACAGTCCCGTTGCCCAACCTGCAAGCATTGAGAAGACTTAAAGTAAAACCTAGCAATCATAGACTACTCACAATAGCCTGCTTGATGAAAAACACATTCTTAGAAAAGCAAACTAATGAAGAGTGGAGCAATCATCTTAAAAGAAATAATATTTATTGCATGTTCTATGTATGAGATAACTTGTAAGTCCACTAGAATTACTCTCTTGGAGTACAAAGATGCCTGTTTCTCTAGTAATCTTCACAAAACCCCACCATACTACTCTCTTTCACAACAGATATGCTAAATGAAAGCAGTCTTTTCTCCATTCTAAGATAAACTCTTAATATTTATAGCTACCATCTACAACTGGCCGACTAGATACTGAAGTTTCTGAGGATTGTGTCCATAAATTTTAAGTGTCCACTCAATTCTGCCACTTTCACAGAGCAAAAAGAGTCAAGGAGCTTGCAGATGAAGCAAGAAATGGTGAGGAAAACAGATAGTAGAAGGAAATGTGAAAGAATAATTCACACCTCTCGAAGGTTATCCTCAGAAAGAGTATGCCAGTATGGTTCTAAAGTTAAAGTTGGAAACAACAAAAACAGACACAAACATTACAATAAACATGCTTTTCAATCTATTACCTCTTGTGTAAAATCTACTGAAAAGGTTACTGCTAATGCCCAAAGAAAACCTACCCAAAGTTTTTAGGGCATGAAACAAACTTCCTTCGCCTTCATGGCCAATAAGGTGACCCAGGTACCTGCTTGGTGCTTCCTTATAATGATGAATGCTAGGAGTTACAGGCCATGCAATCTTCAACTTGTGGCCTTGTTTAATGGGAACAGTCTTGACAAGAATCTGAAATCAAAATAATACAACCAGCCACAAAGGTGTCACTGCCACATTATAGACATTCTAGCATGGCTCTATCTTTATTTGGACTAAATTCTGTAATGTAGAACAAGATTACCTGTAAATGGTCCAAAGCACAAGGCTGGCCAGGAAATCTAGTGATACCCTTGTCGGTGTTTCGGATATCTTGGAACTTCGCTTCTACAAGACCTTGAATTTTATCAAGGCTTTCTGAAAAAAAATCCAGAGAAAGGAAAACACACCGCTTTTATTTGCTTTAAGATTTTTATTTCCTAGAAGATGGAAATATCCGGCTTTGGATTAGAAACAACGCCTACCTTTCCCATATACAACCAAATACATGATGTTAGCAGAATAATGTTCATTATAGAACTTAATAAGCTCACTCCTTGTATCCACTCCTTTTGCTTGGGGTCGTACATGAAGAGTATCCAAATTTCCTGAACACAAATCTCACTTTCATAACAGGGAACAAGAAATGAAAGGACAAATAACTATTCTTATGAATCAGAACACCGAATATATATCCATGAGTACCGAGGAACATAAATAACATTAAAAACGAATATAGAATGCGGACCTGTGCTAAATTTGTGAAATGGATGGTCTTCCCTACTTAAATGCTTCTGCAACTGTATGCAAAGAAAAGAAACGAAAGCTAGAAGTAAGGTGTTTTGAGATCTAATACACTACTGGGTGACCCAATTATGCAAGATAGGAGTAAGTACTAAAGTTCAAGTAGAAACTTCATCAAGAGATTCTGAAATGTATCCTTCAGTAATAATAATAGACGGACATATTTACACAAACAACTCCACAAAACTGCTCTTGGGGAAAACAAGAAATACCTGGTGCATTCGCCATGCATCAGACAATAAGTTTTTCTGATTTTCTGGATGAGACAGAATTCCTTAGAATTAGTCAATTCATGAAAGCTGGAAAAGAAATCAAGAAAAGAAAAGCATACCAGAGTCAACAGCATTGATCTCCCTCATGGTGGCATCAGCTGACATCAGTGGTTTGATAAAGAACTGGGCAAATCTGGTTAGGGGATCACATGAGAACCCAACATTGCCAAAAGTCTAGAGAGTAAGACAAGGTAAGGTAGCCAGAGAAAAACAATAATGCACCTGTCCAACGCCTCTTCAAAACAGTCAGCATTGACATCGAAATGGTAGTTTGTCTGCTCAGTCGCCGTAAAAGCATTTGTGCTGCCTCCATGCTAGATGAAGAAAATGCCAAACCCGCATTCCATATTACACATTCCATGGATTAACACGAGATATCAAATAAAGCATATCCAGTATATTCCAGCCAAGTACAAAACCCGATTCCATAGTCACGAAGATCATTACCTCTGTGATGTACTTTGAGTAACTATCTTCATCCGGGTACTTTTCACTAGCATAAAACAGCATATGCTCTGAAAACCAAGAAAAGGGTACATAAAAAATCAAGTGTATTTACTTATGACCATCAAATGCAGCATGGTGTCATTATTAACAACCTTAAAAAAAGAATAGGAGAAGAACTTGATCCAACTTGAGGAACTTATTTCAGTGTTTGCTACAGTTTAACATGGACGGGACCGAAACAAATCAAATAGTAAAAATCGTTCTATGAAAGATAACACTAATACTGAATTGAATGCAAAATTACCTGATATTTATCTATTCAATACGTCACTAAAAGCTTGTGATTCAAAACGACGTACAGAAATTTCTGATCACGAAAACAAAAGTACCTAGGAAATGAGCAAGCCCTTCAAGTCCTTCTGGGTCCGAGAAGGATCCAACACCGACATCCATCGAAGCAGCACACTGGAAAACAGCAACGTCCAGACAAAGGAACAGTAAGCTGAGGAAAACTGAAATTGAACAGGAGACAAATACTATAACTTGCGCGGCAAAACCCCAATTCGATCTCACCTTGTCGGTCTCCGGATCGCTGATCAACAAGACCTGGAGCGAGTTCTTGAGCACAATTCTCCGGTACTCTCTCTTGTCCGTACGCGGCTTCAGAATCTCGACTTCCCCCGCCACCGCGTTCTCTTTGCCGACCGCCATCGCCGCTCGATTTCGATTCTTCGGGTAGTTTCGTCTGCGATAATTGCTTAGATTTCGGTGGGGGCTTTTATACGTCGCTTCCCAAATGTCTTTTCACTGATTTTGCGACGAAATTAAGAGGAACGAAGCCGAGAAGAAATGATCCAATGCGCGAACGTCTATGCTTGACATATGAATCGACGGCAGATCTTACGCCACGTCATCGCTGACCATGACCCGTCACGACCGTTGGGTAACTTTTGTAGAATTGGATTGACCTTGTCAATATTTTTTTACCGTTGTGTTACAGAGTTGAATTTATAGAATGTAAAAGTTGAAATTTGTGAAACTATAAGAGTTAGTGCATAAAGAAAATGAAATTTAAGCCGTGCATCCCTTTAGAACGGTATCCTCGTACAGCCCGAAACGCCAAATTCTGAAAAGATCACTTCTTCTTTATCAACAGGCCCACAAAGACGCCCAAATTCACAAAACGCCAAACGCCCCATTCCTACGCGACTCCAAACGCAGTTTCAGCGTCTCCTTCCTTGGCCTAATGGGTAATTGGTTCTGTCTGTCTTTGTATCAGTCACCTCAATTCTTTTGATCATCAATTAAAGTGCTGCAGCTAAATCAATATACAGGTAATTGTTTATGAGCCCCATTTATTTATAACCAGCTAGGGAAGCTGAAATTGTTGAACAAAAACTCTGTCAAATAAAAAAGTAGCACAGACTCAAAACCACCACAGCAGAACCAAGAACATTGTTTAGAAAGATATCACAACATACAGAACCGCTCAAGGGGAAGAAAACACACTTGTGTCTTGTCTTTATTCGGAACAGGATTTGACGATGAAGTTCTGGCGGCTGACCGGGTTCATGACGACTGGAGGACCGGCGGTTCTGGGCCAGGCTTGGAATTTCTCATCAGTCGCCGCCCACCATTCCTTGTTAGCTACAGTTCCCGGCGTAGTTCCTGAGATCAAGGAGCTAAATCATTAGCTTTCGACCCATCTTAGTGGCACGATGCCCAAACTCAAAACTCAAATGTGGAAGAAACATGAACAAACACTTGCCTCCAAATATCTTGTCATCAGAAATAAGCTTGTCACATATGTAAGCTATCCCAAAAGATCCGACAACAGCACCTATAATGTATTTGGCTCTAGATGCAGCAGCCATCTTCCTTGAATTGAATTCACCAAAGAAATATCATTGTATCAGGTAACTGCTGCTGAAATACCTCGAAGAAAATCTTACAACTTGCTTTCTGAATACGGTTTCAAGGAATCCGTATCCACGATCACTCAAATACAAGTTATTCAAAGCATATATATATATATATAGCTAAGTTCTACATCAGTTTCATCTAACATCCACTGATAGCTCAAACCAAAGTCATCCTGAATAGTGAATACATAGCTACTCCTGAATAAAAAAAGATTTTAACTTTACACAACCAAAGAGAACTCAATAATAGGCAAAACGAGGATCAATCTAATGACCCTACAAACAAGATCTTAAAAATCACAGCTACATCAGGGTTCGAGTCTGTCTCTGGTTACTGAGAGTAGTAGCTACCAACAAATCTCACATCCTTGTTTCTTTGTCATTAACAGTTAATCACATCGAAAAGTTTCAGAGTATTCCAAGCTAGCAGAAAAAGGAACAGTAGAGAACGCATCAGAGCAATCGATACAAGAACAGATATCTGCGACAGAAACAAGTATCCAGGAGACAGATCTCGTGTTCGGTCCGAAACATAAACAGCGGTCGATGAACAGACGATTAACAAAATCAAAACCCAAGCATCAAAACGGAAGCGAACAGTCAAATGAGATGGGTAGATCAGAGAAATTTCAGCAGAAACGAAATCGATCTACAGGAATCAAAAGGAGAGAGAGAGGCGTGAAAACCCTAACCTCCACAAATTTAACAAACGAGGAGGAGATAAATTACAACTTCACCGATTCGCTGACGAGGAGACGAGAGAGAAGATTTCAGCACGCAACAATGCAAAGAGGAACAAGGCTCAAAATCAATCCCTAAAAGCTGAACGGGCCGGAAAAGACGAGAACGATACGCAGTCGCGAAATGACCAAAACGGACACCCATCGAAAACGGCGTGCATTTTGCCCATATATAAAAAAATGTGCCAGAAGACACGCATTCTCATCATAAAAACCGAAAACGACACGGTGTTTTCTAATCTGCATTTCAGATTAATCGGTAAGAAAGAAAGAACTGGCACCAAGCTTTAAGATAGCATGTTGTTAGACAAATGAAATCTTGCATTATTGGTGAAACATGTCGTTGGTGACGTCATGGAAATCAAAATTGACGGGCACAGAAGCGAATGATTCGTCAAGAGGGTTGATTTTTAAAAATTATTAACCATCGGGGTCGATTCGTAATAATATATAAATTGAGGGAATACATAAATTTATCTTCCCTATAACTTTTGAGGGATGGACCATGGTTGCTCTCTGGAGGAAATCAATCACCATCAAATAAATTCGACTCGTTCCATAACAAAATGTTTAAATTCCAACAATAAATTTATATGAAGTATACAAAAATCCCATAGAAAGAAACTACAACATGTTCAAGCGAAAACCCAAGAACCATATTAGTTACATTTTCAGGACATCATCCCTTCTGACATGGTGGAGTTCAAAGAATATGAGGTTTTTTTCTGGGTGTTTCAAGAGCTGGTTCAAATCAGCACAAGAACACACACACAAATACACATCTAATTTACTTCATAAAAGAGATGTGTGCAGAATTCTAAAGGCCAAACCTTTTGCTGCTTTTCTATGCCTTCGAAGTTCCACGATGATCCCTCTCGATATGCTTCACGAGATCAACTGGATCACGGAACCCTTTGCTGCATTTAGGACAAGCATCGATCGTGGGTTTGGCAAGAGCATGTTTTCCGTTCCTCTCGTGCACTTTCTCGACATGTTCCACCAGAGAACCTACAGAAGAGAACTTTGCACCGCACTGTGGACATTCCTCGGCATTACCACCATTGCTGCTACTAGCAAACTGCAACTTCTGGCTTATGTCAGTGCTGAGTCTGCTAAGACTTGCTTCTGCTGAAGATAGAAGACTAGACCACCTTGAAGAAGAATTTGATGATGTGGGCGCTCGGTTAGATTTTGTAGCTTCTTTTCTGCTACTGCTGGTGCTCAAGAAACCCATGAATGGAAAGCTTTGTTCGGGTTTTTTTGGTCCCGGGCAGTTGTGATCGGGTCCAAAACGGTGTTTTAAGCAATGGTCTAGATTGCAATCCCGACACTTGATTGTATTAGAGAATGTTAGAGCCTCTCTGCATCTTGGGACAGGGCATTTCTTCTTCTTTGTAGCCTTCTCATAGTTTGATGGGTCGCAATCGGTATTTACATGTTTCTCCCAGGTGATGTTTGGATCTTCGTCTGGGTTTAACCGAACTCCTTTAGCACAAAGAGGGCAGATAACCACAGTGACATCCCCTCTGTTGCCTTTAGGACAACTGTGTTTAATGTAGCTACGGTGATCCAAGCAAAACACCTGAAAATGTTCAGAGGTTGCTTCAGAAAAAGAGACACTTCAAAACCAAATGCCCCTAGGAAACAAATTCTTACAAAGGGTGAGCATTCAAAGCAATAAGATAAAGAACAAACCACATGGACACGGATGAGAATCTTACCTCCCGTTTCAGCAGAAATCAGACGGTTCCATTGACCTTAATGAACATTATTATTCGATGACATTGCAAACTAGCGAAGACTACACAAAATTCCGAACCAATCAATACCCTTTGAACTAAAACTAGATTCACTAAATCGCATGGAAAAGGCTAAAGCTGAATAGACAGAAGAACTTAAAACCCTTCCAGAAACGAAAAAGGTGGAACCTTGACTAAAGTTTGACCCTTCTCATGTCCTAAACGCTATGTCGGAACAGTGTTCTGAATCGGAATCCTTTCTCCTAAAACATAATTCATGAGGTCCCGATATCTATCAGAATCTAAAATAGTCGGCCACATCGGATTTAAAGCCCGGGACAGAGAGAGAGAGAGAGACCTGGAGACAGCGATCGCAGGTGAAGGGCAAGAAATCGATCAGCTTGCAATCATCAACGGAGCAGTGTTTGCCCAGATCTGGAAATTCTGGAGTTCCCATCCAGACCCAAGTTCCCGACAAAGAAGAACAATTCAAACTCGAAAACCAAAAGGGATTGGAGCAGGAACAGGACGGATCGAAACCCGTTCCAGGGTTTCACGGAGAAAGGAAAAAGAGAGAAGATTTCGATGAAAAAAGTTCTCCGATTCCGCGTATTTAGGTGCCCAGAAAATTCGCGGAATCCAAGAGAGAGGACGAAAAAGGAGAGGGTCTCCCAATTTTCTCTTTGATTCAATATTTCAATGTAAATTTTATTTTTCACAATATAAACTTTTGGTGACCAATTTTTTTTTTAAAAAAAGTCAATAGTCAAAAGTCAACGGGCCGGCCTTTACATTATTTGGGCCTTTTCTCAACAATGGATCAGATGCAAGCAATCGAAATACACGATCCATCTTGTGGGGCCCCCAACGTCTTAGATCAATTTCAGTCGCTAATCAAAATGTTAATCACTATTTTGAAGATTAAATTACAAGAGATTAGAGGGTAGTAATTATAAGAAATTGTGGGCCCTTTTTGGGCTGCATATGGGCCAAAAATAAATAAAGATATACAAAATTAGTAGCCCGATAATATTTTTCAACTCTGCAAAACTTGTGATACGTTTTTTTTTTTATTGTTTTTAGGCCTTTTTATTTCATTTTTGTACTGTTCCCCAAGGCTTTATTTTTCTTATAAAAAAATTTTCCAATCACATAAATCATAGAGTTTTCAAAGAAAATCACATAGCTAAAATCAGTTGGTGACAAGCAAAATATAGAGAGCTTACACAATAATGAAACTTGTATACAATTATATTTTTTATTATATTAGATATTTTAGGATATATTTAAGAATTTTTTATGATCATTAATAATAACAATAATTATGGTAAAATGTAAAACGATAAGGGGGAATATTTTGATGGAACAATGATTTGTAAATGGCCGCTATTAATTACATTATAATGACAACCGACAAATAATAGTATTTATTTCAAGGTCAAGTGAGTCTAATAATAATAATAATAATAATAATAATAATAATAATAATAATAATGTTTTTACGATACAAAAGCATGAATTTATGTCATCTACGAGGTGTTTGGTTGAACAGTCAAACATCAACAATGGTTCGAGAAGAGCAGAGGAGCTTCACTGTCTTTAATTTAGCAAACACAAAAATAGCTTTTATTTATTTATTTATTTGATTGAACCGACCTCATATATTGATTATATACAAATATATATATATATATACATATATGTGGAAAGGACCAACCCCGCAAGAGACGTCACCTGTCAAAACTGGTAAAAACGACAACACAAACTGGTCAACAATTTTTATTATGATATATTTAAAAAAAATAAAAACAGTGAATAGATGGGGTCAGAAACCAATATTTTTTAAGTTTATGATGTATTTTCGATTTTATCATTGTTATTGAAAAGTGAATAATGAGGGCATTTTCAAAATTCATGTAATATGCTTTTGTGGAATAATGGAAATATCTCATATAAATATTTCAATTTTACAAAATATATTAAATTTAATTCATACTTTAAATATTAAAATATTCCAAATAGATGTCTCAACTCATAAAATCGAGAACAATTTATAATCTCAATTCATTTTTTATGGTAGAATTAACATCTAATTTATATATCATCGCATTCGAGATTGAAAATTGTTATTGATTTTACGAATTTTTTTTAAAAAAAAAATAATATTTAATTTATATATCGTCGCCAAACCAGAATCGAGGTTGAGAATTGATATCGATTTTATAAGATAAAATATGTATTTGAAATATTTTAATATTTAAGTTATTAATTAGGTAAAATTAAAATTTTATATATTTATTTGTGTAAAATTAAGATATTTATATGTGATTTTTAAAAAAATAATTAATAGGTGTGCCATAATTTAAAAAAAAAAAGGGGGAGGGAGCGAGTCAAAGGAAGAGACAAGAAGCGGACGAAAAGCGCAGAAAGGGCCGGAAAAAAAATATTCCTTTTTCTATTACAATTTCGTGTTTTTAACACTCATTTTCCTACAAACATAATGAAATTATATTGCATTATTTTGGAATGTTCATGTACAACCCAACATCCTATTAATATAATTAAAGATGTTAAATGATTAAAAAAAACAAAAATCTGAATTCGATGACAGTTTGAATCTAAATTGAAGTAACCACAAAAAATTTAAATACATATATTTAATCTCAAACCCATACCCTGACCGAAACTCAAAATATATTCAATAACCATCTTTATAATATGTGTAGAGTTCATACAAACATATTGTATGTGTGTGTATATATATACACACATAAAAAAAAAATACCTGATTCGTCGTAGATGTCTTTACCTTTGTCTCTTTATACAAGAGGACGTTCAAAGCAAGAGAAGGGGCAAAAAAAGACATCACCATCATAATAATTACGGTAAAAACCAATAATAGTATTTGTAAATTATTATTATTATTATTATTATTATTATTATTATTTCCTTAATGCGTGTGCATTTTTGGGAGTTTTCCCCCACATTGATATTTGACATACACTCCCTCAGGCACACACAAACATCCTCTACTCCCATTTCACTTCACACACATCGGCTTTCCCAATCTCACCTGAATCTCTCTCTCTCTTTCTCTCTGTCTCTCTCTCTCTCCTGGTAGAGAGAACCAAACCGGTAAACATGGAGCCACCGCCGACGACGACGACGGCGACGTTCCAAGACCAGCAGAGCCACTACAACTCGCAGCACCGCTCCATAGAGACCCTCGTCGTGGTCCTCGCAGTCATCACCATCTTGGCCGTCCTGGCCGGCGTCCTGGCTCGTTTGTGCGGCGGCCACCGCGGTGACCACGACATCGAGGGCTGGGTCGAGAGTAAATGCCGCAGCTGCATCGACGCCGGCGTCCCCCCCTCCGCCGCTCCTCCTCCTCCGGCGGCGGCGGAGGAAGCCAAGAAGTGACAAGAGTGGATTCTGTTTTCTTTCTGCTTCTGCTACTGCAACAACAGTGGTGAGTCTAGTAAAACACTTGTAACATCATCATCATCATCAAGATGAGAACTTTAATTTGGGGGCCTGATCATTATGATGATTCAGAGTTTCTTGGATTCTCTCCTTTTGATTTCTTGTCTCTTTAAGGTTTCTTCGCCACCAACCTGTTGCCTTTTTCAAAAAGACATGTTGTTTGTGAGCTTTAACTTTAATTCCAAAGAGGGTGATCAAAAAAATACCCTTAACTTACCGTTGGATTATTATTCTCTTTAACAACAAAGAGACGAGACAATAAAATCCCAAAGAGTTTCCAAAAATGGTTCACGCGTGCTGTCTTCTACAAACAACAAAAACGTTTGAAGTTAGCCACAGCCAATCAAGACAAGGCAAGATCAAGCTACAGACCAATAAGCAAGTGTAGTTCCATTAACTCCTCTTTAACTGTAGAACTCATTCTCATAGTTACGGTAGGGACTTCTACTAGTTGTTATACAAATACAATCCTTTGAAAGTCCTATGGACGAGTATGGCAACAATGAACAAGACTGGTGAAATGGCATCTTTTACCATCAATTCTTCGAGTATAACATTGAAGTAGCTTGGAGGTGTGAACATTACCTAGCGAATAACTGTTTATAAAGATAAAGATGTAAAAGTGAGTTCTGCTAGGATTTGAACGAACCTCGTCGATGAAGATGATTTGCAGGGGCAATCTTCTTGCTCACAAAGATAATGGGGATTAAATGGAGATGCCACTGGCTTGCAAGTCTCCGGCTTCTGATATCCCATACGACGAAACGAATGTCGGGTGAGGAATCGATTACAGGAGCTAGTAAACAGAAAGCAGTAAATGACAATGCCTCTATAGAAGATCATAAAAGAATAACCACCACTTGTAATATTGCTTATGACCATCATCCAAAGACTGAAAATTTGGATCCATAGAGAGGATCAAACCAAGAAATTCCACTTCGATCACGATCTCCCTGATGTAACAAATGTCTAAGGCAGATGGGGGGGGGGATAGATTATGACCCCCTTTATGGAGGACTTGTAGAATTTCAAATCGCTTGCACATACTTTACATAATGGCTGCTAAATAAGAACTCACTTTCGACCAAGGATAAATATATCTCTGGTTTACTGCAGTGTTTTCAACAACAATGAACACTAAATTTAAATTTATTCAAATTCTTAATCGATATGCCGAATCACAGAATAACCAGCCCTAATTTATTCAAATTTTGGGTCAGAAAATTGAAAATAGTATCCTAGATTGAAGTTTCTGAAGCTAACAGGGCTCCATGACAAACAAGTTTCTGCGAAAACATCAGGAGATGATCCAAAAGAACGACACTAAATCTGATCGAGACGAAAGAATTAGCAAAAAAAATCCCGCAAAATCCACTCAATCGAGTTGATTCTTTAAAAAAAAACAATCAATCCGGGAAGAAGAACAACGCCTTAAGTATCTCAACCATCGTCAAAATTTCAGCAGTCAAACTCCAAACAATCAACCACCGCAACAATGTCGAAAGCGCAACACGAATCGGTAATGTAAGCGTATACCGCATTGTTACCTGGTTCGTCGCTTCTCTCTCCGTGTTCGCCATTGTTTGGCCCTTCCTCACCCCCAGGTGTGTAGGGGACTCGCAAGAAACGGACCACCGGCTTAGGATGGTCGCGACGCACCTGATTACAGTTGCATATTTTAAAAAACGAAGAGTTCTGGACCATTATAAGCCCAAAAAGTCTCTTGTTGGGCCCTTAAATCATGGATTCAAAATTTTAATTTGGACCCACCTTATTAGTGTAAAGCTCTTAGGAAAATTATTCCTATATTTTAGAACGTTAGTTACTTTTTGTGAAATAATCTAAGCGCGCTATATTTTCTTAATGTTATCTTGAGGATTTGGGTTGACGTCGATAAACGAACGTTGTCAGAAAAAAAAAAAATAGCACATCGGCTAGGGTTGACGTCGATAAACGAACATCGTCGTTAAAAAAAAAATAGCACATCGGCTAGGATTGACGGTGATGAACACCGTCGTCGGGAAAAAAAAATAGAAGAAAAAAAAAGCAAAATAAATTTAAAATGATACTCAAGACGATGATACTATTGGATTTAGTACATCGTTGTCATCTTCATCGTCGCTTTCGGATTCAACCGACATTGTTGATGAGGAGAAGAAAAAAAAATTAGAGCAAAAACCGAAGCTCTGATACCATAATAGAGAAATGTTTTTCTGTTATTGATAATGGAAAGAATACATCATAATATATAGCAAAATATAATAGAATATTTTAGACATAATATCTAGGGTAAATCATAACAATATTAATGATAATATTCTAAGAATAATATCTTCCTATATTTTATGTCCATGAAAATTGAAGATTTGTAAAAAAAATACCAATAGATCAATCGACATTTAAATATCATTGAACATACGATATAGACATCATATTCATAAAATTAAATAAACATGAATGCCTTTATTAATGACAAAGTGCAAACAACACAAGCCTTACAAGAACAACGAATCTATGGACCGTTGTATGTATATATTTCTTCAACAATACTATAGGGCGAGCAATCTACACGTGGAAAATAACGTATGATCGTTTACAAGTATCTAATCATAGATTTCCGTATATTTTTGTGTGTACACCCAGCTGTATGCGTGTATATGTATATATGTATGTATATATATGTATGAGTTGGAAATTGACGTGGTCTAAGTGTTGGAGCATTGAGGAGAAACGGAGCCTTGACCCATGACTTGAGCGTTGGAGCAAGTGGCTTTGCCACCTTGTATGTTCACGTTCTGCAACACAAGCCCTTTGCATGGATAGTTCCTGCTGCAATCAAATCTTATCGCCATGTCCGATGCGCTCGTTCCCTTTATGTTCTGGTACACCACGTTGCTCACTTGGACCGCCGATTTCTGAAATTATTTTTCATATATATATATTTTCCCCCTCGGTTATATCATTTTACCATTTAATGGTATACATATATATGTATGTATGTATGTATGTATGTATGTATGTATGTATGTATGTATGTATTGGAAGCGTGTGTTTACTTGTTGTTTGCAGGGTTTGTTCTTATCACAGTAGTTCTGATCGATTATGATCGGATTTTTCACGTTGTCCATCTGAATGTTGAGAAACTTGATGTTGCTCGCAGTTCCGGATCCTCCCTACACATGCATATATGATGACATAAAGGGTGTATATATATATATGTATGTATGTATATGTCATTGATCATATCCTGACTACATGCGGAAATGTGAAATCACGCACCTGATAGGTTTTGATTCTGACTCCATTTTCGGTACCAGAAAGCTTAGCCCCGTCCACAGTAACACCCGAGACATAAGCTCTCGAGTTGTCGTCTCCCAGGCTCCCAATACTGTCAGTCCAAATACCAACATCAATATTGGTATATATATGTAATCCTTTTTTTTTTATATTTATCGAAACCCTTTAGAGAGAAAGCGATTTAACACCTTATTCCATGACCGGGACCGCAAGTTATACCCTTTATCTGCACGTTTTGTGAGCCGCTTTCAATGGAGATACAGTCGTCGCCTGTACATATATAGCGTATATATATATCAGCACGGTTCATGTGAAAAATATACCAATAGTTTTGCTGAGATGAAAAGTGACAGAACAACCTGTTCCGATAACGGAGTTGATAACTTGAATATTTTGGGTGTTAGTGATATGGATACCGTCGGTGTTCGGACTGTCTCCCGGCGCTGTGATGGCGACATTGGAAGCAAGAACGTTCGAGCATTTCTCGAAAGAAACCTGAATTTGTTGCGCATTTCTCACCCTCAGATTAGTCACCTTCACATTCTTTGAGTTGTAGAAAGTAAGAGCCTGCATATATATATATATATACACACAAAAACGTACACATGTTATGTTTCAAAATACCATTTTTCAACATAAGCAGATAAAATACGAATGGGAAAAAGAAACAAGTAAAAATGGCACGTACTGTTGGGGCTTTTGTGCATGGCTGCATGTCGTTCCCGATATATAGAACAACGGATAAAACAAAACAGAGGAAGTCAGCTTATAACTATAATGACTATTCGATTAAACTAATCACACACACACACACACATATATATATATATATAGGTGAGGATTCACCTTGGATGGATTGACTTTGCATGAATTTTGCCACCATATCTTCCCGTTGCCATCGACGGTTCCGGTTGCACCGCCATCGACTGAGAGATTGTTAACGCTGTCGAACGTAAGCCAGTGGCTCTTATCCTTGTAATCGGACGGGTTCTCTGACGCCTCTAACGCTCCCAAGACCTACAGCACACGGTAACATGATCCAACGTTAAGACTCTTATATATATGTGCGTGAAAAATGATTTTAATTTCGATTTGTAATATAACGATATTTCACCTGAATGGTTACAGGAGATTTGCATGGGCCTGTGAATCGAATAGCCTTAAGGAGATAAGTCTTCCCTTGGGGAACCAATAGAACAGCTCCACTCGTAGTACACGCTTTGTTCCATGCTTTCACGAATGCCTGACCCCATGCATGCATCATTAGTAAGAATATACACTAATACACACGTACGTGCACATATATATACACACACACGTACGTACTTGTGTATATTCATATACAACAATCTACACGTATATACCTGGGTATCGTCCGTTTTTCCGTCTCCTCTAGCTCCAAAATCAGAAACACTAACAGTTGTGGCTCGCGAGGGTTTTGGACCGGCGGACGATATTGCTCTTTTCAAGTTCAAAATATCTTCTCGAAGCTTGATTACGTTATCGAACCTTCCATCTCCGAGACCACCAAAGTATATAGGATAAGCTTCGGGTTCATACCCGATTGCATCTTCGACGTTATCAGCTATCGAAGCTTCGCAAAGGGAGAGAAATATCGACAGAGACGACACTACAACGAATAGAGAAACAAGGTGCTTTCCAGAAACGGCCATGATCGGTTTCAAACTGCCTGCAGGGCGGGAGAGAGAAATGCGTCTCGTTTCGGAGGTGACGAGGGAGAATGTTTGTTGTTCAATATCGGATCTTTCCTTGTAATTTTTTGTGTGTTTGTGTGCTTTGGGATGATTTGTGGGTTATGTGTATTTATAGGCAGAGGAAGAGAAAATGAAGGTTTTTGTTAGGTAGCTAAAATTAAATGGCAAGGGAGGTATGGAGACAGAGATTGAGATTTGGACGAAATCCTCCACTTTAGGGTTATTGCCCTAATTCATCCCCCCAATTTTTATTTTCTTCCTTAAAAGTTTCGTATTTCTTCTGTTTATAAGCTTTTTATTATTAGATGAAAAAATTAGTTGATTTAATAATTGTCGCAACTTATTCGGTAGAAAGATTATCATACTTAATGTAAAAACGACTTATATATATATATATATATATATATATATATATATATATATGCACAATTTAAATTTGAAATGAAGCTATCGATTGGTCAAATGTCATTTATAGCAACCGGCTAAACTTTAAAAGTTAGATAGATTTCACATTAATCTAATTCTGCCGCAAATTTAGTTAGATAGAAAATCATATTGTATGGTAAATGTAAATAATATATGTTAGTTTGTATGCAACGTTAATGTTACTAGTCAGTATTACTTCCGTATTCTACGTTAATTTCCAGAGAATTCGAATGAAACCCAACGTGTTGTATATATATTTATATATATATATATATGGTAGCAGAAATTCCGCAACGCCAAAAACGGTTAATTGTGAAGAACATTTGCGTGGTTTCTCAAATAACGGAAAGCACAAAAGTCGGACAAAAAATAATTATAAAAAAAGCATATACTATATATCACCCCAAGAACTTCGTGACAAAGGAGGCATAGTAGTTTTCTTTCCCATTTTTTCTTTAATGATTTTAAGTTTTTATTAGCTACTTATAAACAGTATTAATTGTGCATGAAGAATCAAAGTCCAGATCGTCATCCCTGCAAAAAAGAAGACCTACATATGTATATTTGTACGCAATTACACTCCGTTATACATTTACATATGTATACGTTAGGCTATAATCTCCGTATAATATATACATAGTTTAATCCCAAAACCATATTATTAACTTTCTATGCATAGACGAAAAATGTAGAGATGAGTGTTTCCCTTAGTTTTTCGAAACTGAACCGTACCAAACCGAAAAAATTGATTTTTTATAAACCGAATAGAACTGAACTTTAAAAAAAAACCCCGAAAACTGATTATTTTTTAAGATCTATTTTTTTTAATAAAATCAAAACTGAACCAAATCGGAATTGGAATCGAACCGAACCGAATATAATATAATAATCGATTAGTATCTATTTTTATAAAACCGAAAGTACCGAACCGAACCAATCCTGATCTAAATCCGAATCGAATACCGAAACTTCCACCCGAGGAAAATGTTTCCGACAGCATCCAACTATTGCATTCGTTCTCAATTATTAAAGATCTATTTATGTTTTATGTACATGTGTATTTCGATTCTCTGAAAAAGTCAAGCGATGTGGTTCCGAAAATGCATACGTTATCTATTTTTGTTTTGTTTTTTTCATTTTTAGCACCACTCATCCAAATTAATTGGCAAATATAGAAACTTTATGTATTATCGGATTTTCACATGTTATTGAGTTTGGATTTTTCTTTCCATTATATATATGTGTGTATATATATACTGTAGATAATTATCTTGTAATTTGAAAATTTGACATGTAAGCGGGGATCTGCATGGTCCAACGGAGCCGTTTTATTCAAATAAAACACAGTTCGTGAACACGTTTCAGCTTTCAAGTTAGGCACACAGCACGTGAGGTTAGAATTAAGCACATGGTCTCCACACAAAAATGCGCATAACAGTATTGTGTGGTGTGGTCAACTTCGTACCTCTAAAGTCCACGGCGAACTTAATAAACACGTGGTGAAATTCCAAGGAGTTTGAAATATAGATGAGCAGTTAAAATCCCGGTTGGCGGTCCACGAATAATATGTTAGGATTCATGCATGCGCATTTGAGATCTCTATGTGCGTTAAAAGTAAATCACGTCGACGTTTGAAATTACCAAAAACGCCTAAAGAATATATATAAATATAACCGTACGTGAAATATAAATTATACCGTTTAAGAATGTTTGCTCGATTAATCGTTTGGACCGTTTGGTTGGTGTTTTGATTAACCAATTAATTGCTCGTAGGTTCCATTTACAACGTTTTATAAAACTTAATGTTACCAAAATAAAACATTTATAAAACATTACGGTCCGTACGGACTATTTCCTAGGAAGGACATCAAGCAGTTCGAAAAAGTCAACTTGTTCAGTTTTTTTTTTGGGTATATATGGAAACGGTAATTTTGGTTAGACATGATATAAATATGTTGTTCAGATTGTATATGGCCAAGTTTAGTTACACAATTGCATGAATATATGCTTATTTAAGTTGGGTTAAACCATTTAGGGTTTTGAATTATTACACTTAATTAATGGGCATTGCATGAAGTACCAAAAAAACAATTTGTAGATAATATTAGCTGCATTTTCATCATTTATATTTATTGCTTAATATTATTATGTATAAATAAACGATCAGTCAATACCCATATATAAAATGTATAACTTATCCGTATAAAAATACATAACAAGGATTGTGGTAAAAACTTCTAAAAAAATTAGATTTTCCCCCCTAAAAAAAAATACATGGAATAAAACGAAATATGCATAAACTTGTTGTTTTTTTGGTTCAATTCCAAAAGTTTCCCCTTCTCGAAATAAAACGAAATAAATATCATATATCTTTAGATTTGGTTTCTATTATTAATTAGACTTTTACTTGAAAGGGGGCGGAAAATAGAGAGTTTAAGTAAGGTACGTAAACCAGACCCTAAACCGGTGGAGTAAACCACAGTCCATGAAAAACTCAACAATGCCCATACAATGATTAACAACGGCAAGAGAGTCACGTAAGGCTGGTAATTATCCATTATATTAAAATTCCGTATTATTATTATTATATATTAGTAATTAGATTCCTTGCTGTATGATTATTGAGACTTCAAATATATATACACACACATATATGGACGTCAAATCTCCAGTATTTATGGCATGTGCGGGAGCTTGCTTGCGAGACCTAAAGGTATGGTCCGATGCATGTCTTCTGGAGAAAAAAAAAATATTTCTGGTCGTCGTTGTTATCTCTTTAGCTGTTCGTTTTATTTTCAATGGTTAGGATTCAGGAACTTCGTAATAACTTTTTATTTTATTTTATTTTGTGGCTACCAAATTTTCCCCTTTTTTTTTTCTTTGGTAAAATAGCACACACACACACACGAGAGAGAGAGAGAGAGAGAGAGAGAGAGAGAGAGAGAGAGAGAGAGAGAGAGAGAGAGAGAGAGAGAGAGAGAGAGAGAGGGGGG